GCCCCGAACTGAGTCTTCAAAGTCTGCAGCAGGTCCCAGCGGAGCCTATGCAGCACGAGCACCCATCAGACAGAAATCATCCCGGAGATGCCAAGATAGTCCCCAAGCCCATTATATAAACAAAAACCCTGACCACACCGCAAAACCAGTCACCAACAGTCACACATAGTCACCCTCAAAAACACCCAAAGAAGTGTCAAAGGTTGTCCAGTTCCGGTGTGCGTGAGCTATATATAATATATTCTGGGAGTCAAAGACTACAAAAAGAATGGTCTTTAGGGGACCTGAAAGGGAACTTCCTTTACTTCAAAATGTAGTCTTTGGACTTCTAGGGTATAATATATATATATACCTAGTAAACCTAAAGTATGCAAAACAAAAATGTCGTTTCAGAAAAAACAGTTTTTGGTTGAAAATGTAGTTTTTGTATAACAATTACCTTTTTGGATTTTGGTTACCTTTTGTTACCTTTTGCAAACTTACTGCTGTTTGTTTGAGAAATCATGGGACCATTCTGTCTGAGATCTCCAGTCTGGAGTTGTGGGCAAATGAACAGGGCGCCAGTACTTACTTTCTGTACACAGAGGATGTTGCAATCACCAGAGGGCAATTAGATGATACATGATGCCCCCTGTGCACAAATTGCAACTTCCTCGTTTTGCAAAGATTGCTTTGGAGATCCATATCGCCATCGAAACCATTTCAAAGTGGTCGAGCTCTATCTATTTAGTTCATAGTCATGGTTAGAGTGGCCAAAACTTCAAGACGTTGAAAAGCTGCTCTGCCTTTGCCCTCGAAGAACTTCGAAGCGAAGGCCCTGGAAATCGACCGGACAGAAGCCAATTTCACTGAGAGCATGCTGTGTTTGAGATGCGTCGAATTATCCCAACAGCTTGTCATGGAATGCCTTGATTCCATCTTGCCTGGAAGATTCGGATGAGTTGCGGTGATCATTCAAAGCTGAATAATAGAGAAACGCTTGGGGCAAGGGAAAACAGAACCTAGCTCGACCTGCAATCGCTGAGATTTCCGGTTTTTTTCAGGGGACATTTAAACTTCCATGCAGGAGTGGCCGAAAAACAATTATATACGGAATTTACCGTCCAAATGACGGAAATCACCGGAAAAATTGCGGAAATTGCTGGACACGGTTTGGATGTTTTGAATGTAGAAATTTTTGCTGTTTCAGGGGCCTCTGGTACATTGCAGGTTTCCTTTGATGTGGCCACGCCTGCTCCTATCAACTCCTTGGTTTCGAGCTGCGCCACTCTGTGTGAGGTGAGGGCTTTGAAGGCATGCCCTGCCCGACATGATGTTGTGCAGCCCCATGATGAGGAAGACACCCTTCTCCAGCAGTTGCAGGAGCAAAACACAGCTAACTCGCTGTAGTAGTTGTTTCGATTCCTTAAGAGCGGCTCGCACTGCGTTACAGGTTGTGTATGACTTCGGCCCAAACGCCAAATTTTTCTCACACCACTTTTGAGACGAGGGAAATTGTCAAACTGTCCAAATTTTGCGTGTCACTTAAATGGCATTGTGCAGCCAACAAAGTTTTTATTATTGGGAGAATCAGCCGTGTCAGTAGACAGGTTGCAAGCAAGCAGGTGATCCTAAGGGCCATCGAAAGGTACGGTGTATCCTTGCACTTTCGCCGGAACCGACTCAAACAGCCTAAGTTTAGGTGAACAACTACCTTTTGGTGTAAGAAGAGGCTGGATTTGGGATTGGAAGCAGCTGAAAAAATGAATATTGCATACCCTCCACTGGCTTGATCGCAGCAACTACAATTTTACAAAACAATGACGTTTCTTGGCTGAGATGACCTTTTTTTTGCCGGAAAAAACACGATTACATTTTTTTTGCATACTTGGGCTTTCTAGGTATATATATACGTGTGTGTGTGCCGTATAGAGGGAGAGAGAGGGAGACGGAAAGGGAGGAGTCAATCCTTCCATATATTTAATGAGCCTTATGACGTTTACAAAAGGCTGTTCAGTAGTAGAGTCCAGTAGTGGTTGTCCGGACAGGTTTGATGAAGATGGTCCTTAACTGCCCTGAAATGTTGCCGTGTTTTTGTGTACGGATCACACTTCTAAACATGGAATAAACGTAAAACTGTAAAACCATAAGAATAAGATACAACCACCGGCCTTAGACTCTTAGCAAAGTAGCATTTGGGACTCTGCCTTTGGGGGATTCGTAGATTGCTTTAAGTGCAAGTGGTTAAAACCACTGTATTCTCAGCTCAGGTGGTCAGGTAACAGGAAACTGGGATGTTCCCAAACTGGCAACAAACATGATCCTCAAACGGTGACTCTCTCCTCTTTCCTTTCCAAAAGCGTTAACACAGATTGCGGGTGTGTGGATGAGGACGGTAAAGGGATCCCAACACTCAGCTTCCAAACCTTATTTTAAAATTGTGCCAAGTGTTCTTCGGCCATGACTACAAAACAACATCAAACTACATCTCCCCACACAACAGTGCAAGTGCCCCCTGTCTGGTTAGGACAATGCAAATGACTGCTTCTTTCGTTTGGTGAAGGGTGAGTCAACTAAACCCCTCCCAGCCCTCTTTCAGCAGAAAGAATCTTAGCCAATGTTCTCTGCAGCTTGTCTGACCGCTGACAAACTCTCAAGAAGACTCAGTTGATCAACCTGGGAATGCACAACAGTGGGTTTCGGAGAATTGCTTGGTCAGGGAGGTTTCTGTGTTCGTTTATGAGGATCCCGATGCATCTGTATAAGCACATCGGACGTGCCTGCATGGCTCCTGGGAAAAAGGGCCTCCGGCTTTGTGATAGTGCAGTAATTAATAGAGATGAGACACTAAAATGCAGATCAGCCGCTGAATATGCTAAAACACGTCAAACGACCAACATCAGAAATGCAGTTATTCCTCTGGGTCGGATAATTAATTGTTGCTAATATTAAAATCCAAAGTCAAAAACAGTGTACAGTTTGTGAAGAAAATCCAGCACCACCTGGGAATTTGAGATGACCTTTTCTCTCCGTGTCTGTAGTTTTATAAATGCCCTTTACATGAATTGGCGATCCCGTCCCAGTGGTGCAATCTCTAAGCTCTGCACACCAGGGCTGGCTCTTGGATGAAAGCAGGTTCTGCCTGAGATTTGCATCTCACACTAAGCTGGGCGACATCATACCTTACTGGCCTTCCTTACTGGTCTTCCAAATGCTCCCAGCTAAGATGCTCAAAAGTCAATCAATTAATTTCCTCAAGGAACCTGCACCTTTTGCACCCCTTTCCGGAGATGCCCAAACCTTGGCCAGTGACTGAGACGAGGTGGTTCGTCGGTTCGTTCGTCGTTCGGAAGTTCGGAGCTGCACCGGGTGTCTTGGAACTAACGCGTTGCGCGAGTGTCGTGTGCCGGGTGTTCTGTCCCAACTTGGGGCCAAAAGCATGTTCATTTGGAAAGGCTTGGGCTCCCCACGGGCCACCCAGGCACCTGTCAACGGGCGCCGTTCCAACCACCGAAGACACTGAACGGTTTTCACAAGATAAGTGTTTAAGCATAAATGCGCGTGAACATCAGCATGAACAGTGCTTCACATGCAGGAACAATTAAGATTGATATCTTATATAAGTGTTTGACCCCCCCGATGATAGCTGGCAGTACAAATGTAACACTGACATGCAATCCCTATGCCCTATCAATCCCTGATATAAAAGTTGATAGCAATGCGACTTGTGCTGATTGTGTTGTGGGAAATTTACACCTTATTGTTTAGCGATGAAGGTATGGCAACTGCTTTGTTGCGCCACTTGAGAAACCTTACCCAAACTTCAAGCAAAACCAAGTTTGCACCCGCCGACATGCCTGAAAGAGTCCCTCGAGTCAACGGAAGTAGGGCAAACAGTTATTATAGCAAGTGGATTGAGAGTATATGGCACAATCCCAACAGGTGGTTTCATCTGGACCCCTATATTCAAAGAACTCGGGGTTTGTACGATCTACATCCATTTACTCTGGACCCACTGCACGCTCTTCCTTGCTAATGGTCTCATGTCATCTGCCCCTATCCGCATCCCCTGCTGACTCTTGTCAAAAAGCAGTGCACATCTGGACAAAATAAAAAGACTGCAAACCCCCGCGCATCAGGAGGAACTCGCAAGAGCACAATACTGGGTGGTCCCAAGAGCGCATTCGCGCTTTAGAATTAGTCACTGCGCTACCCAACTAGTGCGCGACGACCTGAACCTGCAAAAACTGATAAATCGGCCGGGAACAACATGTAGCTGCTTCTGCATCACCAGCGGGAATTCCAAAGTTATGCAGGTACACGGATCTGTTTCCGCTTCTGAGGACCATTGCGAAGAGCTCCGTTGAGCAAAGCTTTGCAAGTCCTCTCTGTCCGCCTGCTGCTGAAAGCCCCTGGAAACGGGGAGTGACACACACACACACACATGCCCAATTCAGTTGACATACAACCACACCACTGCCACGCCACTCCCAGTTCATCACGATTTTCCTTGCAGTTGCATTGTGTCTTTGCACATCAAGGCCAGCACGTAGTCATAGAGATTGCTTGCAAACTAGCAGCACATTTTCTCCCGCTCACATTCCTCTTTTGAGACATGGCTCTGAGTCAAGAGTTGTCTAAACTTAACCTTCTGAGTACATTGTGGGAATACTGCACAAGTAGACCAATGAGCCAACAAAGGGAAACATTGCAAAGCACTCAATATCTCTTAATTACTGTCAGTGCTGTGATGTTTCCAAGCAGGATAGGATGCGGCTGGGTTCTTGACAGCACAAGATCCGGCAAAAAGCAGCAACCCAAGATATGCCCCTAAAACGACATATATGTTTGGAGCATGGGGCCTCACACACACACATATATATATATATATATATATGTAACACTATATAATATATAACTATATGGGAGTCTCCAACTCCGTTCCTTGTGCTCAGCTTGGCCAAGACCCGGTAATGTCATCAAGTTAAGTTGCATCAAACTCTCTGGCTGGGCTAAGCGGCTTAGCGCAGCTCCTGCGATGGTTGCATCCCAAAACATCAAATGCCAGCATCTGAACCCTAGATCAAAGGTTTGGGGAGGTTTTCGAGCAAAATCCAGCCTGACAAGGCACCTCCCCTTCGCAAAGGACCCCAAAAGCACCGAAACTCTGGGGTGTCAAGAATGGTCGGGAAAAAAACACACAAGTGAAGATCCTGAGCAGCTTCGGTGACCACTGGCGAGTACGTCGCTTGCGGTACTTGGGTGTAGGCGGTGTAGGTCACTGGTGCTTGGGTGTAGGTCATGGGCTGGGCGACCTGGTAGGTCGCTGGCTGTGGCACTTGCGTGTAGGTCATGGGCTGTGCCGCTTGAGTGTAAGCAAAGGTGGGGGCCACCTCAAATCGTGCGAGCCCGGATCTGACGACCGAGGCGTGGGTTTGCCAAGAAAAGAACTGTGAGATCCATGTGAGCCTCAATTTGTTCCAAATATTTGAGGTTTCACCTGTCTAGTGAATCCGCCCACAGGGTTTTTAATGATGTTGGAATTGTACATAGCATCTACACCTGCCCAGCCTCAGCATGCCACCTGGACAAAAAGACGAACTTGTAAAGAAAAGTGTGTGCCCAAAGTATATTTTGCTGGGGGCCTCCTACAGGCCAAGCGCCTTTACTTACAAATTTGGGCTACACCAGGCTACAATGCCGAAGCCGAATCAAACTGCAGGTTTGACAACCCGGCCCAGGTTGGTTAATGGATATTATCATTTCTTAAGGTATCCTTATAAGATAATGATACCAATTATTCACACATAAAGCGAAGGAACAACCTGATGATTGAATATGATCGATCTAATCAACCAAGGAGTCCCCAACCACTGTACCTGAGCCGTCCCACATGTTCGACAGCACCTGTACGACGGCGACTATCTCAGTGAAGCGACCATCTGAGCGCTGCCGGGCTGTGGAGGGGCGAAGGAGGGCGATGGCGCAATGCCACCTGCCAGCGATGCCCTTTGTTACGTTCGTAGCGTCCTTTTGCTAGTATAGGGCTTGCCAGGAGCGCCCCGTTCGTATCGTCCGATCGCTCAGTTCGTAGCGACGCCCTTTGTTACTAAGTAGTAGCCGTTCGTTTCGGCCCCCGTGTACGTCGCACGCTGCGTGGGACACGCTCAGTGGGAACCGGTTTCGAGGCCGGTTCTGTGCGTGTGGATCAAAACTGTCACAACCCAAAGCCCGACGGTGGTCGCTTGTGCCGCCTTTCAACATACCCCAGGCGGGCTGTTCATGGCTGTTCTGAGCATGATACGATTCCATTCGATGCCATGCCTGCGCTGGCCAAAGGTGCTTCCTCATCAGCCGTCACCTTCATGCTGCGCTTGGACTTCTTCACCTTTTTCTCTCCGGAGCTGGCCTTGGTGGCGCGGGATGTTCTGAGCAGATGGAGGGCACAAGCAAAAGCTATTCAGTCAAAGTCAAAAACATCGAGATGGGAACCATTGCCAAGCTTCCCTCCGTTTTGATGATGAAATGAGTTCTGTCAATCAGGCCTTTGCTGTCAGTTTGTTTTCTCACACTACTTTAGTACTTTTCCCACTTCCTCACACATCCTCGCACCAAGCAGCCAAACCCACCCATATCAACACCATCCAACACCCCACACCGCCCAGCAACATAAAGGGCCACACCGCCCAGCGCCGCAGCTGCAGCAGTGCCACCCAGGATGGCCCACAGCATGTTGGAATCTAAGCCGCCCTGGGCTCCGGCCACCATTGCTTTGCCGCCTTCACCAACACCTGCATCCGTAAAGCACGGAGCCCTGCTTTAGGCGGTGACGGCATATGATGAAGGATGAAGGTTGAAAAAACTGCATTAAAGTCAAAGAACACCAGAATCGAACCTCTTTCTCAGGAATCTCTCAGATATACCCGCGACGTGACAGGCACACGTCCACATTGTAGCGTAACGATAACTATCAAGGTCAAAAGGAATATTCTTCAACAAGCATCGCGGATGATGGACTTTGCTCGGGAACTGTCCATCTTCCAATAGCCCGGTCCACCCAACCCGAGAGCAGTGCTCCAAACCTTCAATCAACCCTCAATCATTCCACACACCAACTCCCACCAGCCAGCCAAAGAAACATCGCCCTCAAAAGGAACAAGGATTCAACGGTCACAATGGGAGCTGTTCGTCTCTGATTCCGATATCGCCCATGGGGATCCTTCGAAGAATCGATCAACATCGACGGAAGCGAAAAGAGCGTGCGGTGTCCGTGCGGTCCAGGCCACCCTTGGCCAAGGAAGCAGAACAGTCCTTCGGTCCGCTGGTGGCACTCCTTGGCTCGGGTGCCCTCTTCCAGCGGAAGGGAAGGTGATGGTCTACCGCGACAAACTCCTGGTGCTTGGTCAACAACTATAGGCGAAAGCCCCAAAGAACCATGATGAACCATGCCAAACGACGCCATCAGCTTGAATACAACCTTTCTTTTTTCTGAAAGGTGGTGCTGTGTTTCATCTAGTGACGCCCTGTCTGAGTTACACATCCAAAGGGCTGACAGCGACTGCAAGACATGGACATTCAAATGATGCTTCATGGTGCTTCTATGTTCCGTGTCTCCAGCTTACACCAACTCTACCCCATCATTCTCCACCACTCCCCACTCCGCGCCGTGTTCGTGGCGCCATGGCTCGGATCGGCTGAATGCGCCAAGGTCGTGAGTTCACCGTCAAAGAACCAACATCCGTTCTTGGGAAAGCTGTCGGACTTCCTCAGCACCATCGGTGCCGTCGAAGTGGCGTGTGTTTCAGAGAGGTCGGAAAGGAGCATTGGTCTCCAACGCCTGGCCAGAACTCGGGCCTGCCACTCAAACCCAAACACTCCATGTATGAATGTATAGTACAAGATTGTATATGCCCATTGACCCCTGAAACCACCCACATGATATAGGCATAGGCATATGCCATACATGGAGTGTCTGGGAAATATGTGATTATGCACGGTGAAAATCTCAAAAAGTCTCATGTACTGCGCCAGAACCCGGATTTGATGCTGCGATTGCTCATAAGCACATCCACAATGGGATAGGTAGTGAGGACGTCTCTGACGAGCTCCATGACTCCATGGTCCATGGTTGAATCTGCGCCTTAACACGCCTAATCAATCCCACCACAACATAAAGAACATACTTTCAAATGATGACAAGCACATACAAGCAACTTAGCAGCAAGGCACACACACACAATGAAAAGTCTGGCAGGGGGATGCAGGGGGCTGGCATAATGAACAGCACCTGAAACACATGCTCCAAAGAGCTTCGGTCAGTCTGATTCAGCTTTGATGATTTCGACCGACAGTGAGGGTAAAGTGAGAGTATCTTTTGTAGCTCCACCATGCTCCACCTATGCTTTATTCCTTCGCAGCTTCCATAGTGCACCTTTCTGCACTAGTCACTAGTTGGCCTGGCATTGGTTCCTTGTCACTTTCAATTCCCTTCCAATGGCCTTTTGCACCTCCCAATTTCAACACACCTTTAAATTAAGTTCTCCCAGCTGCAAACCAGACCGAGTCATACCGAGTCTCCAGGTAAACCACGTACAAACCGTGGAGTCTGCGCACTTCTTCTGGCAGTCCTCTGCCGTGTCGGCGAACTGCGTGGGCACCATTCCCAGCACGGGATTCTTGAAGGCGATTCCCGTCTGGAGGCACGTGCCATCGTGCATGGGAAACTCCAAAGCACCCGCGGCTGAGCCTGATTTGGCCCGCGTGAAACGTATAAGGAATTTTGGGCCGTAAAACATGTGGGGTGTTTTCGTGTTTTTTCCTGGCGGATGGCACACTACTGGAGAGGAACCCCTGCATCATCCTGAAACGGTGATGAGTTGAAGCTTGACCGATCAGGTGGAGATTGAACGCCGCCTGAAGTGATCACCGGTCAACAAAACAGCTCTTAGAAGGTTTAGAAGAACCAGCTATATAAATTACATAAATATAATTAAGCACTCTCAAGTCCCAACACGACTTCTGGGGCTTGATTGGACATGTTTTCAAGCACCTCATCATACCTCATCCACACTCCTTTTGTTAACAAAGCTGCTGGCATCTTCTGCCCCATCACTGACCACCTTCGCAGCCGCAGTCGCCGTTTCCGCCGCTGCGGCCGTCGCATCGGCTGGAGCAGTGACCTCAGCCTTTGCAGTCAGTGGCACAGGAGTGACGACCGCCGGAAGGGTGACGGGCTTGGGGGGGGTGACACTGGCTTTAGGCACAACCGGTGCGACGGGTGCTACGGTGGCCAGGGGTGCCACGGTGGCCAGGGGTGCCACGGTGGCCAGGGGTGCCACAGTGGCCACGGCGGGTGCCTCAGGTGTGACCGGTGCTGGCAGTGTGACAGCCTTGGGAGGCTCCACGTCAGCCTTGGGGAGCTTGGGCTCGTCAATTTGAGGCTGGAGTGTGGCATCAGGCTTCCCTGCCTCCACCGTGGGTGTGGCAGGCGTGGCAGGGACAGCGATGGGGTCCACTGCCATCTTCACAGCAGGGACGTTCACGGTGACGTTGCAATTCTTAGCACCACTCACCGCATCCGCGTCATCGTAGCGATGAGTCAATGCGTCCAGCTGCTGAATCAAGTAGCACGCGCCGCCTTGGGGGTATGACCTCGGAACCAATCAAGGCACACTTTTCTGTTGGGAAGAATGGGTGAAAACAACATTAACATGACAAGTGGTAAAAAAGGACGGCATGAATGACGGCATTCAGCACTCATCATCACAAATCTTGAAACGAACTACCCACTTTGGGGATCTTTGGGGATAGATCTTTATCATCGTAGTTGCATCAATTAACAGTCGTATCACTAGTCTGATCATATCACTAGTCGTATCACAGTTTTACCACTTACAATGATACCATATGCAGCATAGATTCCTGATGTAACGGTTCCATATAGCTTTGGATTAAATGCACTGGGAAGGCCATGGATTGTCTCGACAAGCCCACTCCGACAACCTGCTGATCCAGCAGCTTGGTCTTGAAGGTAAAGTGCTTGCAGGCGGGCGCAATCTGGCAGCTGTCAGCACAGGCCTTGGCGAAAACATGCGAAAACTAAAGACACCAAGTCAATCGGCCTGTCTTAGGCCACGTCTGTACGAGTGTTGTATCCTAATGGCATGAAACACAATGTCTTTCCAATTTTGTGTCTGCTAGCGGCCCCTCCAATCCATAATTACATGCTTCAAAGGTCTTTGGAGGTTTTCCGGTTTCCGTGTTCTAAAACACAGCCTCATGCCATATCTGTCTGTGGTCTGTCCATGGTTTTCCCGTTGGATTCTCTTCACCCGCCTTGGCATTCTCCAGGTAGCCCGCGTTGGGCTCCTGGTGCAGGCGGTCGACTGCCCAGCCGGCAGAGATGGTCATCAAATCTGTATAGGCCACACCTGCACCGACCGGGAGCAACACTGAGCGACCACGCGTTGGTGCAGATCGGGGCTCCGGGTGACCCGTTGATATACCTTTTCCACATGTTTGCCAGGTTTATAAAAAAGACCACCATTGTAACATATTCATATTCTCACCAACCTCTATCCAAAGGGGAGAATGGATGAGAATACTGATGAGAATATATAGTATGTCGGGCCGACCTGCATCCGAAACAGTTGGATCCCTCGGCAAACAGCCCAAGTTCTGGCTGCCTGGTGTTTTTGAACACCCACCTTGTTGCGAGTTCTTTCGTTGCGACCTGGAACTGGAAGGCACGGAAGGTCGACGGTTCATCGAACCGTCCATGTGAGCGAACATAGGGAGTTGTCTGCTCAGAGGTGTGAGCAACCAATCTACCTGTTGGGTCGTCTTGGGACCATGTTCACTCGTTTTCGAGATTGCCACAGGCCCCAGAAACGAACCCGGCGCCTTTCTCCAAACACTCGGGCCACTTGGTCTGCGCATCGGCCAGCGTGACCAACAAAGTCCTCAGCCGATGTGATCTTCGGCGGTCACCACCCCAATTGCCGGCGTGTTGAGGGTCTACACTCTAGACATAGTGACCCACCATAGATGGACAACCATTTGTTGGATGTTTTTGTCACCAAGCACTGATACCTGTATATTTTAGTTTTAATTGAATGAGTAAGTTGCAATTTGTTAAGACATGTTGATACATATCTGGTATGGCATCTGCACCTCAGGACCCAACAGAGAATCTGAGCTCTACTCAGATCTACCGACACCTCTTAATACCCTGCACAACTCATAGAATTTGCTGGGAGGAGTGTTGTTTCCATCAAATCAACAACTCTTCCAGTAAAAAGAATGATAGCAACAACTACCCTGGACCCTGCATCGAGAGTCAAAGCTTTGCGGAGCATCTTCGATCTTCAGCACAAAGAGCAGGCAAAGGAAGACTTGTCTCAAAATGTCTGCAGGTGCTAAGGGGGTAATGAAAAACAACAAAAGCAACAACGATGTTCACCTGAGGTGAACCAAACAAACAAAGGAACAAATGCACTACAGTAGTCACATCCTTCAAAGCAAAACTTGCATCTGTAGCTTCAAAGACCGCTTGAACCCCACGTACCGCGTGGATGGGAACTCCGGAACTCCGCCTCGGACGCTGCCGCGTTCGGCACCTGGAGACCGGAACGAGGAACCAGGACCAGCATATACATGCATACAGTAACCAGCATGACCATAATTCCCGGCTGCCGATCGAAAAAGGACTATCGTGATTTATCATGGAGAATCTTTGGATGTCATCAGGTCCACACGTCGACCGAGGCTTATGCCGGGCATTGCCCCTTTTCCGCGAGCAGAGCTCGGGTGAGACGCAGCAGAGCTCCGCAGCGTCAGTCCTGAACGAGCAGCTGTGAGTCTCCGGAAAGCAGCGGGCCAGGCCAGCTAAGCGCCCACAAGCTTGAGGTCTGCCAAAAAATGTCTGCTGAGATGAAACCAAATCCCCAGATTTACAACAATATTGATGCTGATGTTCTTTTAATTGTTTAAAGAAAGCCTGCCAAGCTTCTTCCAAGAGCTTGGGCATCTTCTCTTTCCATCCTCCTAACCTGCCCCAAAAAAACCATGGAAGTGAGCCCATCTCTCCCCCTCGTTGGTGCTTGGACCACATGAGATGAGCCGAAGACAATCGCTCGGCACAGCTGTGCTGTCCTCCTCGAACGGCGGCCTTTCAAAGGCCATTTCCTCGATCCAATGCCTGCACCACATCGAGCGGCAGGGAGGATGCTGTGGTCACTGCTGCGGTCAGAAGTAGCAGTTGACTCACCTAAATTAGTCAGCGATCATTGGCAAGAATCACAGTTCCTCCTTCCAGCCCTCTCAATACCCCAAAAACGCTTCCAAGTACCTTCTGAGAAGGCGTTTGGGGTGGGGTTGAAGGGAGGTGTAGGGATATTATGTTGCGGGCCTCTCAACCAAGAAGCCGTCCAAATCCCCCACTGGACTCTGACCACACCGCGGTTCGAGGACGAGGGCCGTCCCCCAATAAACCGGCCTCGGTGATCGCATAGTTTAACATCTCGGCGCTGAAGACGTCGTTCCGATCCAAGTTCAGCGCGCGGTGATAGTAGTTGATGGCCTACACTGCACACCAAGGTAGCCTAAAGGGACTTGACGGGCCTGGTATTGATGGTCTGGTGTCTCAATATTTGGAAGGTCTGCCTCTCACGCAATCACACTCACAATATGTCTGCATCCAAACCACTATATATCTATATCTTGGAATGAAGAAAGTTGATGCACCTGCCAAACCCAAATCGCCTACACTGCGGTCCGAATCCTTTTCCCCAAACCTACATCTGCAACATGACAAAGCTCCACCAGGGATGTTTTTACTTTATCTTCGGCGTTTCCGCTGGTCTCTGGGTGGACCAGTTCCTTTCGAAGCATTGGCCAATCGAGAGCCGTGACCATTGTGCTAGCCCCTGGTCACGGAGACGAGCATTGCAAAGGCATGGAGGCCATCGTAGTAGGTTGGAGCCCATTGCTTTAGGTTGGAGGCCATTGCTGAGTCTAGACTCTAGAAATGTCGTCTCCCTCCTGGTTTTTGCCATGTCTGACCTTGGAGAGTTCATGAACTTGCAATCGTTGCTCCACGCAGGAGCTTTTCGTTGGCTCGTCCCAGGCACCAGGGCCCACCCGCCCGGTCAGAAGGGTGATGAAAATGCCCGCAATGGGCAAAGGACTCTGCGGAACATTTGGCCCGACAAGAGACATTAACGCTGACTTGCCACAATTATCTCACAACTGGATCACTCTATCCACACATGCCACGCCACACTCATTGAAGGACTGTGCAGCTGTATGCCTCTTAGAAGGGCACCTTGCCTGTGCCGTCACCCACCACGTCAATCATCTGTTGACTATTTCTGGGATACGCACTAGGAAAAACAAGTCCCAAGTGGTCTACGAGTCTACTTTTGTTTTTCTTCCCATCTTGCTCAGGTAGGGCCGGGCTTTGGGAAGCTTTCCGAAGTCAGCTTCTTCAACTTCAGTTGCCTTAAGACTTACAGATATGCATTGAGCTCACCACTTTCGCAGCCACAGAGTCTTTCGCCTCCTCACCATGTGAGGCCTGCCGATCCATCTCCCTCAGAAATGTACGGCATCTGCCGGTCGAGGAGGTGATTTTCCAGAAGTGCGCCCAACAAGGGCATCCTTTAGCAAGCAAACGCTGGCAAGTACGAACCCTTTTGAATGATCCGGCCTTTGGGCTTAATCCCAAGCACTTTTGGCGTTCTCGTCATGCACACCGAGATGTTTAAACACTCAATGGTCAAAGCTCTGCATAGCAAGCTTTTCTATCGTTGAAGGTGCCGCTGGCCTAGCTGGCAGCACCCTGCCGAACCGCACAAACCTCACCACTCACAGCACCTAGCATTCCAAGGTCATCTGAGAATCATGCCAAGGATAAAGCCCCAAAGGTGACTCAGGACTCAGGGGGGGTTCTGGTGCAAGCACTTTAAAGCTACCCAAATGATCCTTTGCCAGTTTTGATTTAAAACCTAAACAACAATGTTCCCTCCAAACTCTGGTCTTTGAGTAGCCTTCAACCAGGCCAGGGGTGTGGATTATTTGGGTACGGTATATGTAAACTCATCCATCTTGATCCGCTGCACCATGCACCCAACAGCCTCAACTGATCTGGCACTCTGAGAACAACTCTATGCTTTTTGTTCAATGCTACACACGCGCGACATCGAAGCTTCAAGGTCCGAAGCTCCAAGTTCCAGCTGAGTCAACACCCAAACCTACCTTCCTACAGCTGAGCGACCTCGTGGGCCACCATCCTGCTGTCACCTTCGATACTTCGCACCTTCTCAGCTCCACCACACTTCAGTTTTCCCTGATCAGTTCCGCTTTGTGGACCATTTTGGATGCAAGTGAATGGCACCGGCACCCACATGTCATTCCTCGGTGGGGCTCACGAGGCCAAGCGTATTCTAGTGCTAGACTTAAAGCACGTTCAGTTCGAGTACGAGTCCAAAATATCAGAACTCATATAACTCGCTTGAGTAGCTCCAGCTAAAGGCTCACAGGCTTGGTTGTTGTAGCCAAACCCTTTGCTGCAAGTGGTGGGGTAGAGGCATCGTATAGGATGCCGAGCCCGCTACACGGTCTGCCACGCCATGCTTGAGCCTCAACTCCTGAAATGGACGTCCTGCCAACTCTGTTGGAACTCCTCGCACAACAGAATTCTAGGGCCTAGGGCCTCTGCGATCTGTCCTACGCCTACGCCTCTCTGTGGGTCTTACAACGAACCCTCTAAATCCAGACCAAAGCATGTTTAACCACACGCCTGTAAACATTGCCTATGTCTGCCACCCTCATCCTCATCCCCCCAAGAAACATCCGAATTTGCAAGGATGATCTAGAACACAAACAAATCTCTTCCTCCACTGGAAATGGAGCATACCCATGAGGTTTTTCTCGGCTCGTTCGGGGCGTGGCTGAGAATCACAATTCACGGTGCGGTGTCCCAGGCCCAAGTGACCCCCATCGGTCAAAGGGATGGGGAAAGGCGCCTCAAACACCTCCACTCTCACCCGGCGCCACTGGTGAACATGAAAGGAACTCATCTGTGCATGTCCGGCTGTGTGCGGCTGGAATCCAGCACTTTCATGGAAGAAATATCGCGCCAAACATCAACATCAGGAAGGTCAAACAGAAGCTGAATGCGATCAATTCCACTGTTCAGTGCTGAGTCTTCAACAAGAGAGGGGGAGGAGGAGGACCCAAAGGGAAAAGTAGAGGGGAGCGCTATACTTACAATTTCTGAGAAGGGAAGAACAGGGGAACAAGAAAACAAACGAAAGGCAAAGCCAAAGGAAAATGGAACTGAGGACAAATGCTGGGGACGAACAATTCACAACAGAACAAGCGAAGGACCAACAAAGACCTGACATTTCAACACAACTGACCGCGATTAATTGTGGGTGAATTGAATCGAGCGGGCAAATTTTACTGTGGCAACATCCTGGAAAGGTTAAAATACGTGGACTTGCCCCAACATGATGATTAAAAAGAACGTGCGATCTAAGATCTATGCTAGTTCAAGACGACCAGGCCTCAGCTTCTCTGTGCATATGCTGCTCTAGCCTCTACCCTACCCTCATCGATGCAAGTGCCAAACTTAATAGCACCTCCTGCCACGGAATGGGCATTAACTGGGTCATTCACATTCAACAAAATAACACACAAAAAAACGTGGAGAGTGGAGACTGGGTCTTCAGTTGAAATGAGAAACATGTCGAAACTCAGTCAGCCATAGAAGCTTGAAAACATATAAAACTGTGATATATATAATATATACATAATATATATATATACTAGACTATGCTATTATTGTATATACTATTATACTAAAGAATCCCAAATATTGATCTAGGTTGTTCGAGCCAATACGAGGCCCAATAGATGATGGATCACAGGGGGCCTTCTTTTTGGATTTGTGACTGGACGCAATGTATGGGAAAGGACAGGGCCCTTTCAAATGATTATCCTTTTAGGGTTGGCCATGCCGCTCTGCTGGCTCTGCTCTTCTCTTTTTGCCTCCAATGCCCGGCTTTTGTGAACAACACTGATGTTTCAACATGAAAAGCATACCGCTGAGGCAATGCCAGTTCTGAAGGAATGCCACCCGGCTTGGATTTCTTAGGAAAGTCAATCGCACGAGGCCTTCTCACGCGACGCCGGGTGAGATGATCGGACACCGTTTGAGGGACTTGAGTCGCTGAAGGCTATCGGTGGATCAGCTGTCCCGGTGATAAATAGGTTCACAGCAAGGATCCCAACCCAAGCGACATCCAGTTCCACAAAAATGTCCAGTTCCCTGTGGCAAACTTGACTAGTCCCACATGCTGGTAAACATGTTGACGTGGTATGCAGTCATCGAAGGTTAATAAGATAAAAGGCGAGGATCCTGGAGAATTTGATCTCAACGCACTCGGAAATGCAGGGATTGGAGATCTAATCTGAGTGACAAACGTGCCAAGGGCAGTATGGGGCCGCGCTCGGTGTAACACCATTTCCTCTGCAAATGCATTTTTGTCACAGTCCTGGCACATGGACTAACACACTGATCATTATGTATCCCTTCCTAGGTGAGTCAAACCATGGGCATCTCAGCCGCAGAAAACTGCCCTCCAAGTCTCAACCGCCAATCGCCCATCTTCTCCACGGAGAGAATGGAAATCGCAACCAATGTCTGCAATCCATCATCTGCTCAGATCAGATCTACAGCAATTCAATCTATTGAATTCCCAGCCTTTCAGTTCCTAAGTTGAAGTGTTTGGACGTCATATATGCTCATCTTCCTTTTAGATTTTAGATGGTAACTGACAGGCTAGGACCGTGGGTTTGCTATTGCCGCGGCTCTCGGTCGCCTTCCACCGCTTCATCAGGCCTCAGTCAGCTCCGAGGGGCGCTCTTCAGAAGTCCCTCACGAGGCTTAGGCCATTCTCGCCCATGAAACATGAGAGACGCTGCTACTAGGGGCTCCTGGCCTTACTACTAGAGCAAGGACGCTACTAGGGGGGTCAATCCCCAGCTCCACCAAAGACCGACACGTGGATGGAAACAACACCCAGCTCTCTGTGGTGCCTGGTGGTCACTTGCTGGAAACAATTTGGGCAAGTAACAAGCGCACGACAAAAGCCCAATGGTTCTAAGATGTTCTAAGTGTCACTCCAAATACCAGGACAATCATGTGAATCCGTGTGCATGTTCCTGATACAATTTGATGATTCCTTGCTACCTCTAAATAACCATTGAGACAACCTCAACCTCCAATCTCCCGAAAGGCAGTCCGCTGAAGCTGAAATGTTTTTGTCCCGCAACATCTTACAGTAAATGGCCCACACAAAAACTGGTGCCACCAAAGACCCAGAATTATCGAAAACAAACTGAGGAATAACCCTCATTCGACTGGGATTGCACACTCAACAAACACCGGCCGCAAGCCTGGCCCACCAAAACAAGCTCACGGTCAGGGACCTCTTGCCTGTGGCCAAAGCCGTAGTTATTGAAGCCGTCCCGAATGTGTGAATGCACGAAAACGCCATGAAAGCTGGGGTTATT